GAGCGTTTCGCAGAAAAATATACCAATGACATTGAGCTGTTAAGAAAAAACCAAGCACACCTTAATGCATTGTGGCGAAATCAAACATCTGTGGTGGAAGCTGAGTATAACCTACTGAAAAGAACAGAAGAAAACATCGCCAAACAACACAAAACTATAAACAAACACTTGAATAGTTTAGATTCATCGGTGAACACACTACAAAAGGACTCAAACTCAAACTCTTTATTTGCAAACTAAGTGTTACATAAGTTATTAAACATAATACATAGCATCTTATGACTTAGTCACCTTGTACAGGTATAACAAATAATATATAATTAAACATTTAAATTATTATTATGATATTATAAAATTGTAACATATTTAATTTGGTTTGGGTGATACCATCATTAAACATAATTTAACAAAACAAAAACAATAGAAAAAAAAAAACACAAATTAATTAAATTTATTAAAGTATTCTTCGATAGAATAGAAGCATTCATCGGTTAAATATTTTTTTAATTTTTTGTGAAATATAGGGAGTTCCTGTTCATCCCGTATTTGTGATGGTAATTTATTAAATATTTTTATAGCCATATGATAGGGGCTGGTGTTTAGTCTACAGAGATTAATCTTATCACATATACCCAAGATTTTACTTTGTCAGCATTTATTGCTAATAACTTGTTGAGCCACCTAAGAAGAATACAAGAATTTTTGATAGACACCCTAACCGATATTTATCAAGATCAATTCGACCGGCATTTATTAACACCCCAACAGCTGAAAAAAGAATTGAATGTCATATCGAGTCTTTTAACTAGTGATATCACCCTGCCTCTCGAGAACGGACAAACAGATATTCGTGGACTCTATAAGTTAATGAAAGTCAATGCAAGAATGACGGAAAAATATTTCATTTTTGAAATAAAAATCCCTCTTATTAGTCGAGATAGTTTTGATCTGTATCATATTATAGCCTTGCCTCAGAGGCTGAACAAAGGCATGGCCAGCGTTATTCCTACAGCTGACTATGTGGCCATCAGTTTACAGAAAGATACATACCTACCTGTATCCAGTGAAGATATCCATAACTGCATAGCGAGAGACATATATACATACATATGTTATCTGCAAAGTACAATTTATAAAATGAAAACGGATCGTGATATGTGTATAAAAGATGAAACAAATCAAAAGGAATGCAAGATTAGCATCCAGGCTTGCCAAAATCAATGGTTCAGCTTAACAAAACCGAATACTTACTTATATTTTTGTTGTGATCAAAATGTGTCCTTTGCGAACCTTCTGCAACGATCACGTTACATTACATAGAATTACGCAAACAAGTATCATAAGCATAGATGATTCATGCGTAATAAAAACAGACAATTTTACTATTTATGCACATAGGAATAGAAAATCTACAGTAAAAGTTGAACGAGAAATTGAAATGCCAATTATAGCACCCATCAATCATATTATTAACTTAACATTCGATAAACAGGAAATAGGTAACGAATCAGAGATCTGGAATGATAAGATCGAAAGAAACATAGAAGAAAAAATAAAAACATTGAAAGAAAACGAAAATACGCTGGATCAAGACATATCCTATCATGACATCCACCACTATACACTGATATATGGCATCATGATAGTGGTAAGTTTAACAGGTGCCATACTGTTGTGGCGCAGACTGTGCCGCCGCCGCCAGGTGCCCGCGCCGCCGACACAGCCGAGTAGTAGTGATCGTATAAGTGATGTGAGAATTTCAGTAAGTAATAATAGTGAAAGTGAAATAAGTCGCGTGTGTAAGAAAAATAAAGGGACAACCCCTGTGTTAAAAAAGGTGATGTTTAGTGCAGACTCTGTGTAAAAAGTTCATAGAGACAATAATTATATTCCTATTATGTTGTTTATTAAGAGTTGGTATTTTTATTTCACTTTACTAACATAGATTTAAGTAAACATTGTATCATCATCTTGTAACTTTAATTTTTTTCATCTAACAAGCACATCTCATGAGAGTCATCTTTCCGGTCGGCAATATGTTCGATGCATTGTAATCGAACTCCCATAATTTAGCCTAAGACCGCGTTAATTAGGTTAACACGCGCGTCAATTGATTCAGTGCATTTTTGGTACCGAATGAGTCTGGTGCATTCATCAAACATTAACATTTTCAACATACGCGTAAAAACATTATTATCATTAACGTTAATTTTAGTGTAGTTTATAAAGAACTATATTGTGGACTTCATAATAAAACATTATAATATATTTGAACTTCCTCTTTTACTCCAAACATTCACCGTTATCTAGTGCAAGTCGGAACAGATTGCGTTGATCATCACACGCTGTTATTGAAATTGGGTCATTATGGAGTCAAAGGTACTGCATATAAATTGATACAGTCGTACCTCAGTTCCAGAATACAAACTGTAGAGGTAAATGGTGTTAGATCATCTGGAAATGGGCGTTCCCCAGAGTTCAATTTTAGGACCCTTCCTGTTTCTAGTATATGTAAATGATTTGCCATTTTTTGTGGAAAATTTGTGTGAGATTGTATTATTTGCTGATGACACATCTTTATTATTTAACGTTGACAGGCGCAAAAACAACTATGACGATGTGAATAATGCTCTCTTGCAAGTTCTGCAATGGTTTAATGTCAATAATTTAAAGCTAAATGCTAATAAAACCAAGAACATTCAATTTTCCTTACCTAATGTAAAAGTTGAGCATATTGGAATTAAATTAAATAATGAAAAATTAGATTTAGTAGAATCGACTACATTCTTGGGTATAACAATAGACTCAAAACTGCAATGGAGTCATCACATTACGCTTTTGGTTGGTAAACTTAGTTCAGCAGCTTATGCCATAAGAAAGATAAGACAACTTACTGATATAGATACTGCCAGGATTGTATATTTTAGTTACTTTCATAGTATCTTATCATACGGCATTTTACTCTGGGGAACAGCAGCTGATATTGAAAGTATATTCATTTTACAAAAAAGAGCTGTGAGATCTATTTATCAATTGAGTAGCCGAACATCTCTTAGAGAAAAATTTAAAGAAATTGGCATTTTGACTGTTGCTTCTCAATTCATTTACAATTGCATACTCCTCGTTAAAAATAATATCAATTTGTATATCAAACACAGTAACGTGCACAATTTTAACACTACGAATAGAAACAGGCTTGCATTGCCACCCTACAGGTTACAGAAGGTTTACCGATCTTTTATGGGTCAAGGTATACATTTTTACATAAAATTCCTGATGCTGTTCTTGAGTTACCCATAAATGAGTTCAAATGTCACATTAAAAGTTGTTTACTTAAGAAAGGCTATTATACTATTAAAGAATACTTGAATGACAAAACTGCATGGCTGTAACTGCAAAATTGTTCTGTATTTGTTTGCAGTGTCGTACAGATAAATTACCTTAACTCTAAGTAACTATTTTGCAGTTTGGTTTGAGTGGTTATGGGTAGTCATGCTCTCTTAAAAATCTCTTCGGCGGTGTCGTGTGAGGCGGGTCGTTGCGTTCCCTAAAATATGGTTGAGGGAAGCGATGGCTGGTTCATGCGTCATGCTTGTGAACGGGTGCTGCCAGTGGAGATGAGTCTGCTCTATGCTACTTTATTATTATTATAATTAACTATTTAATTTAAATTTTATTTGTAATTGTATTTATACTGTATGGCACAGCAATCTAAATCAAAATTTAGGTGAACATTTATTATTTATGAGATAAAGATTTAATGGTGGTGTGGATTCTGGCATGGTTCTCTAGACCTGAACTTTGGTTTTGCAGCGGTGTATCCTTGTCATTCTCTATACAGAGTGAAGGGGGGGCACTGATGTTGGGTTTGGTTTTGGGTTTGGAGAGTAGTGGCAGAGTCGACACTAGTGTTTAGGTAATCACATGCATGTGTCCTACAGTTGTGTTTATAGTTTTTTATAGTAATGTACACTGGTACTTAATTTTTTTTCCCTATTTTGCTATCTAGTATCCATATGTGGTTATGAGTAGTCATGCTCTCTTAAAAATCTCTTCGGCGTTGTTGAGGCGGGTCATTACGTTCCCTAAAAAATGGTTGAGCAAAGCGATGGCTGGTTCATGCGTCATGCTCGTGAACGGGTGCTGCCAGCGGAGATGAGTCTGCTCTTGCTACACTCTTGGTACTATTAATCATTGAATTTAACTTAAATGGTACATTTGTTTTTATGCCTAAACAGTAGGGCACGGCATTTCTAAAATTTTTATTTTTAAATCTGTTTTTTATAGTTTTTATTTTATAGTCATAATTGTTTTATCATTTACATTTGTAATGGAAAGTGACTTCATGAGTTATCTCATATTGAAGTCATTTTTCAAATTGACGACTCTGTATATAATACAGGGAGAAAAAAAACAGCCCTTGCTGAGTTTCTTGCCAGTTCTTCTCAGTACAAGGTCTCCCGCCGTAGATTTGCGAACCGATGGCGTAGCTTTTCGACATTCACAAGTGCTTGTAACAGCCTAGACTGAATAAACAATATTGAATTTTGAATTTTTTGAATTTTATGAAAATATTTTCTTTTTTCAGAAATATAACTTAAATTGTTGTCTGAATCAGGAGTATTCTCAAGTAACTCAAAATTCACAGGGTATATTCTTTGAAAAAGTAGAGAATTATATTTAAATTACATATTCACACAAAATATAGAATTTTTGTCAGGCTTTACTTTTTCTTCTTCATATTTAAAGGAAAAATTTATGAAATGTTTTATTGATATAAAGATACTTGACAGGTCTGTACAGGCATGTTTAGCTGCAATGCAAGTGAGGGCTGACGGCAGGATGCACGAAAAAAATTTATTGAGAAAAACACTAATTTACAACAAACAGAAACTGTCTGAACATCTATTTTTCTAAACAATAAATATTCGACTGCCATTATAACAATATTTACTCATAATTGATGTAAGTAATTAAATTAAAAATGTGAATTAGCTTACCGTGAAAGGATGTAGGCAACTGCAGATGTTTAAAAGACGAAGAACCAGCATCGTCATCTAGTTCGGCCTGTTGTCTTCTAGCAGCTTTAAGAATCTTCTTTGACAAATCTGCTGTGACGAACTGTAATTATCACTTTCATGTAAATAAACCAAATCAAGGCAAAATAACACTAATTTATTAAACTTTTTATAAACCTCTTCATCATTCACTTGTCTGTTACGCTCTTTTGTTCTATTCTTTGTCTTTAGTGAAGTAACAGCTTCTATTTGGTCCGCAAGAGATACATTTTTCCCCACTTGTGAGGGTTTTAACTTTTTAACTTTTCCCATTTTGTAAAGATTTATTACCAAAAGGACCACGTTTTCTTTCTTATTCCAAACAGAAATGACAGCCACAGGAGGAGAGGAGAGACTATGCACAGACAGATTAACTATTTTTTTTTACTTTATAGTCTGCACTGTTTGTGCATTAGCCACATACGAATGTAAAGGTAGGGAAAGGGTGTACGCTAGCATGACGGACACGTCATGACAAAATTTTATATTTTCGACTTAATCTGTGCTTTTTTCACCAGTCCAATTCTATTCTCTATGACCTTTATGTTTTGTTTGTTTGACGTTTTGAGTATTCCTCCAATCCATTTATTTACGATTAATGTAATTTAGCTAAAAAGCAAGCATTTTTCATTAATAAACTAAAGTAATTATAAAATAGACCTCTTCATTTAAGCTATTTCTATACATATTTGATTGTTTGATATTTTTTAATTCCAGATGAATTCAGAGCTGATCGCTAGCGCTACACCACCGTCAGTTTCATGGGCACAAAGAGCCACTCGCGTGCTCTTAACTTTTAATGTAGAATGCGATAAACCTGAAATTAAATTTGACAGTAGAAAAGTTTACTTTAAAGGAATATGTGCTCCTGATCAAATAATACATGGAATTGAAATACCTCTATTTGCTGATATTGATCCAGAAAAAAGTGTATATGTGAATAAAGGTCGATTTATTGATGTTGTTCTCATAAAACTGAAAAATGATGAACCATTTTGGCCCACTCTCACTAGTGACAAGAAGAAGCACCATTGGCTTAAAGTAGACTTTGAGCGCTGGCAAGATGAGGATGAAAGTGGAGATGATTGTGATGTGAATGATATGTTTTCAGATATGAAATCTGGAATTGATTTTGGTGATGATAACGAAAAGGATGAGTCTAGCTCAGAGGAAGAAGAAGATTTACCTGATATACAATAAAAAAATATTATTTTCATAGCCAAAGACATCTTTAGAAATTTGTAACAATTAAGTGCTTCTAATCTGAAACTGTACATTTATGTAATGATTTTTTATGATTATATAATAATTCTATATGTTCACTGTTAATTATCATGTGCAGAGTTCAGTGGCAGCTAATGTGTTAGAATTACATATTAAAATTTGATTGCAACTGTTAAGTTAATTAGTGTTAACTCCACTAATATTTGTTAATATTTTGAAAATTGTACCATTTATTTTAGTAGTTAGCTATAATTTTGAAATATAATTGTTGATATGACATCAATTATATTTAAATAATAATGTGGTTCTTATTGATTTATGAATGAATTTAGTGGAAATTATTGTAAAATGATAAAGCCAACCAGTATATAGATATTATCATATGGTCCATTTACCCTTAATTAAGGTATTCTTACATTCCAGAGAAATCAGTAAAATTTTGGTATTGGATTAATTTAAGTATGTTAGATGAGTTGTAGAAATTTTCAAAATAATTTGCATTATGAAATGAAAAATAACTAGAATCTGCACTAAGATGAAAGGGACAATTTCACAGCAATTATGTTAGCAGGTGTAAACAAATTAATGTCATAAATGTGTCTAGACCAGCCAACAGTGACAAGTATAAACATTGTCTTCTTATTTATGAAACTGTCAATCACTTTTTACAAGCATATTTATGTATTATTATTTCTAAACATTTTTTTTCAATAAATCATATATTCCTACTTTATCTCAAACAGGTATATCAATACCACTCAAAGGGAGTATACTCTATTGAGAGTTGTGTGGTAAAATTCAAGATTTTACCACATAACTTCCTTTTGATTATGCTGAAAACCGGTTAAGACTTGTGAGATATGGAATGACTGATGATGAATGTTTAAAGTTTCGTTGCATTTAAGGAGTTATAGTTTAAGATAATTAAGATTTTTGCATCTTTTTTATGAGGAAATGATGTAACCACAAAAATGTTGCTTTACTTTTGAGTTATTTTTTTTTCCTTTGAAATGCAAATGGTTTATGATAGGTGCTCACTTAATGGATTTTAGTTTTGTCAATAAAATATCAATTAATTTAAAATGGTATTTTAAAAATAATAAAATCAGTTTAAAATAACCTGTATTTATATTTTTCTTTAGATACATCTTAACAAGACAGATATATGGTCAAACATGGGTTAAAATGTAGGATGATATTCGAAAGGCCGGGATTCAACAAAATAATAAATTTTGGTAAAATGCTACAATATTTCAGGTGGAAGTATTTGCCATCATAGAATGTGCAGAAGCCAATCGTCTACGAAACTACACAAACCGGGCTATATATATACAGGCTGTGACAAAAATTCAAATAAAGCTCGAAGTAGATCATATAAGGAATCTTTTCTAATTTTTTTAAAATACTTGCATCAAGTTATAAGTTTTTATAAAGACAGTTATTTTTAATGATTAATAAAATTATCTGTTATTTTAAGACAGGTCACTAGTTCGAGGATCATTAAAAATAACAGTTTTTATAAAAGGTTAAAACTTCATGCAAATATTTTAAGAAAATTAGAGAAGACTCCTTATATGATGTACTTCAACGCCCTTCAAGCTTTATTTGTATTTTTGTAACACCCTGTGTATATATATATATATATCTTTTCAGATAGCCAAGCAGCCCTCATCATCATTAATTCGAACATGATATACTCGAAACTGTGTTGATCGACGACGCTTGCTCTCCTGAGGCAACGAAAATCTACACCGACGGAAGCAAACTAGAAAATGGCAAAGTCAAATCAAACAACCCATAATTAAAAAACTAAAATTGCACGACAGTTGTTCTATTTTCCAGGCGGAATTACTCGCCATTGAACAAGCGATGCATTGGATAGTCGACCATAAAATTATGTCCGCCGTTATAGGTACTCTCTGACAGCCACTCAGCTCTCCTAGTCCCGGAAGACAGAAATACTACCAATAACTTCGCTACTAACATACATTCTCTCATTCATCTACACACTGGCTGCGTGAAATTTGCATGGGTAAAGGCACATGTCGGTCTTGATTACAACGAGGCAGCTGACATCGCGGCCAAAAGCCCCGCAAACAGTCACAAACTGACTTTGCCCAGTTCCCTATAAGCTATGTCAAATTGAATACACGAAATGTAATCAGAACCACCCACAATGACCGATATAAAATCTCAACTACTGGCACACACACAATTAATCTGCTTCCCGATCTTGACTCAATAACGGAGCTCTTCAGTCATATCGAGCCTTCCTTCCACCTCACACAAATACTTTCCGGCCACGGCTATCACCGTCAGTACCTACATCGGTTCAAGATAGCCGCAACTGACAAATGCAACTGTGACTCGAACAAAATCCAAACGCTTAATCACTTAATACAGGAATTGCCCCCGCTACACACGTACGCGGGCGGAACATACCCGCCTCTGCTCATACCATCAAATCGATCCTTATACTATAACCGAGCTCATGCAAAAGAAATCATGCTTAAATTCATTTATCGATCTATGTAAAACCATCGTAAACACACTGAAAGAATATAATAACAGCTCACACTATAAACTCCATTCCTAAAACTACACTCTATCTAAAGGACAATGTTAAAATTGGCCTAAGAACCAACACCAATTTGGCATTTATGATAATTCTTAGTATATTTTTTGCGATAATTATCAGTCTTTAGATTGTGACGGACACTTCCAGTTAAGTAAGCTAAATTAAAAAGTTAAAAAAAAATCTGAGACAATAAATACCATTTTATGTGTATAATCTGTGGCAGCGCTGCAAACAAAACACTCGTTCTTCCTAATGCCGGCACTTCACTTGGCTATTCGTATTTGCTATTTTAAAACATGACTTCAGTGTGTCCTTTTCATTCCTTATTAAGCATGACAAGGACAAACTGTTGTCAAGTGAACCTGAAAACTTGTTACTCTGTGGTTGTGGAGCATGCAGTTTGCATTCGTAGTAATCTGTAGCATTCGTGCATTCCAATGAGTAGTTTAATATACCGGAATGTGCATTCTCGTTTTGGATTACCTGTTGTGTGTGTTTATTTGCGATTGTTTTTCCTTTAATTTAACTATTGCGGTTATCTAATATGGCATCGATGTTACCAAAGAGCAGAGCCCTTATTACCAAGTGCTAGTGAACCTGTGCCACAACATCCTGAGAGGATCATACTGCCAAATTATTCAAGAACACCTAATACACATTCACGATGCATATTTACACAATATACATGTGATATACAAATACAATAAACAATATGATACAATTATGTGAAAAATATTCAATAAATAAGAAGCAAAACTACAGTTTTTATCCCGGCTGCGCAATGCAAGAGCGCGAAGCGCGACGCGCAGACAGGGTATAGTGTTTAACAGTCTATTTAAGTATGTTTGTTCCTTTGTGGCACACTAGAGACAAAACGCGTGGACCGATTTTGATGATTTATACATCAATGGATTCGTCTTAATCATGGGAGTGCTACTAAAGATATGATAATAATCAAAAATCAATATGGGGACAACTAGGCGCCATATTGTGAGAAAAAAAAAAGTTGCCGAAATATGTCGATTGGGGTATCATTGTCTAGATAATCAAAAATCATGTTTAGGTTCCTTACACCATATTTCATTTTATATGATTGTTATGATCCACAACGCTTTAAAGTTGTATATAAAACCACTCGCGCTTTTAATTTCAATCTTACGTTTGTATGGATCTTTGTAACTCTTTCACTCAAAAAATACTAAATGGATTTTAATCAAACTAACCAATAATAAAGCTCATACATAATGATAGCAATATAGATTATAGTTTATGTTGTTATTGAGTGAATTGGTCAAAATATAACAATAAGAGTCACGTGAGACGGAAAAAATCTCCCATCTGCGAGCCATTTTGGCCTGCACTGCAAAAACAATAAAAGTTACATGAATAAAATGTATGGTGGAATTTTATCTTTTATATAGTTCTACAAAAAAGTCTAGGACAGCATATATCTATTTTTAATGTGTAAGCCATTATACCTAAAATAGTGAATCAAACATAAAATAGGTATTATTTCAAATAAATTTCCAAAATACATATTTTGTATA